TGATACCTGTTGGTCTTTTTGTTTTGATGATGTTTAACAAACAATTTACGACTAATATTATTAGTCTAGTGTTTTGTGTTTATCTATTTATTGTAGACAAACAATATATTAGAGGTTAGATGGAATTACACTTTAACGATGATATCCAATGGAGGTTGGCGGAATAGTGGTTGAAGCCTATGCAATTCATAGTTGGAGATCCAAGTTCTAGCTTCATCCGCAATGTGTACCAAGTTAAGCTTATTGAAGATCAAGATCAAGCTTGGGTAACATTAGTTTAGGTTTATATTATGTGTGTTGGTACTTTAAGCTCAATCATATATACACACACACATTATATTGGTTTCCTTGTATATATATAGTTATATATATATACAACACAAGCTTTGTTTCCATATATATATATATAGTTATATATATACATACATAGTTTTGAGTTTTCATGTTTATAAATATGAGATTACATATTTCATATTTACTATTGTGTTTTGGTTTAGCTATATAGATATGAAACAAATTTACATTCATATATATAATCATATGTTTCATACTCCATTTTGTATAAGAATATATTGCATAAAATATGCAATTTTGTGAAAATATTGTTTTCATGGTTTATGGACTTAACAATCATTATACGCATCTTTCATTAAGTCCACAAAATCATTTTGTAAAGTTTCAAAACATGGTTTAGCCAAAATGTCAAAATTCATGTGTTCACATTTTTATGTTTTGGACTATTTTGCAAAATAATGATATTTTACATTTGGGAGGTTCTTTTTAAAAATAGTTTTTGTAGCATGTGCATTATCATGTCTACAATCATTTTCCAAAGTTTTATAATTTTTGGAATTTGTTTGATATTTTAAAAAGAGGTTTTAAAATCAGAAAACAATTTTCAAAGCTGAGTATCAGAAATATCGGTTCACGGTCGACCACGTGTGTCGCGGTGGTCGACCGCGAAAAGTCCAGAGACTCAGCTTTAGTTTTCATCAGCTCACGGTCGACCGGACTTTCCAGAGAGCCAGTCTGTTTTCTCAGCTGCTCGCGGTCGACCGGCCTTGGCACTACGGTCGATCGCCGAAGTAACCGTTAGGCTCTAACGGCTATTTTCCATCTTTGTTTTCTTATGAGTTTTTGGTCATTTTACTTAGGTTTTTGCTGAAGTTTTGAGTGGGTATAAATACCCCCTTGCTCTCATCTTTCAAATCACCAAGAGAATGTTTTAAGAAAGTTTAACAAGGGTTTAAAGTTTGTTTAAGTTTGTTTAAAGGTGTTTAAGCCTTGCTTAAGAGTTTCGTTTGTGAAGATAATTTCACAAGGGCTTGAGGAGATAATCTTTGGTGTTTGAGCTTCAAATCATCTCTCTCTCACTCTTGTCATTTATTGGAGAATTTTTTAAACTCAATCTAGCTTTACATTTTATTGTTTGATTATAATTTTTATTAAGCTAGTGTTTATATTGAGTTTAGTTAATTTTATGTATCTCTTTGTATACACACAACCATTGAGTTTATTGTATTTTTATACTTAGTATAATTTAGGTTGTGGGGAGTTGTAACATTGAGAGTAAGCCTACACTGTGTTCTCATCTATTGTAGAGAACGATTTATTTGTATTGAGCTTTCATTGTGAGATCACATTATATTATACTTGTACACCGAGAGGAGTGTGTGGTGAGGACGGAGTCGATACCGAGAGGAGTGGCGTCGGTGGCCTAGTGAGAGGTGATAATTCCGAGCACTTGAGGGAGTCGATACGTGAGGACCAACACTTGAGGTTGTTTCTTGTGTATGTACATTGTGAGGATTTGTGAGAGTTGTCGGTTGACTTGATAACCGAGTGTGTAGAGTTTTCAGTTAGCTAGAAAACCAAGTGTGTAGAGAAGTTCCGGCTTCCAAACCGGGTGTGACGATAGTGGAGATCTCCTCGAGGTGAGGAACGGGGACGTAGGTCGTGGGGACCGAACCTCGTGAACATATCGTTTGTTTGTGATTGCATTGGCACACTTATTTTTTGTGTTTATCATTATATCACCTTTGTCAATTGCTCCTTGTTTATATTGCCCACTATCTTATTTATCTTGTTTATGATTATTTCACCATTGTGTTAGTTTATATATCCTTGCATATATTTCACCATATACCTCTTTGCTAGGATATATATCTCTTTGTTCATATCACTTATCATTGCATATATCTTGTTGTATATCATACTTGCTAGGATAATTTGTTAATAAGTTTTAATTGGTATTTAAATTGGATTAGATTAGCATAAACCATATTCACCCCCTCCCTCTCTAGGGTTCTTTCCTAGTGGAATTAGGGTCTAACAATACCTACTGCCACGTTGGTTAGGGCGGGGGTTGACCCTGGGAGGATCCTTGTGCCATTCTGGCTTCTGGTGATCCCGTGACGACATCGTCGCTTGAGGGTTCAAAGGGAAGGTCATAGCTGGCGAAGTCGTATGGGCGGAACCCGAAGTTTCCATTTTTCTTGCTGATGCCTTGTAAGCCCGGGCGTCTTCCATATCCATGTATCCATGGGCTTTGGACATTAGCTGCTCGTAGTTGGCGACTGGCTTCTTGGCGAGGGAGTCGGCCAGTTCATTATCCCACAAGTACCGACATAGCGACTGCGCTTCCGGGATTATTAACTTCCAACCTCTTTGCTTGAAATCTCTTGAAGTAAGCTCGGAGGATTTCGTCTAGTCTTTGTCTCATTTGGATCAGCACACGAGGAGGGAGCTTCTGCTTTGTGTCTGCCAGAAAATGATGGATGAACTTACGACTGAGTTGTTTAAAACTATTGATAGATCTCTTCTCCAGAGCATTCCACCAGAGCTTAGCACTTCCTTTGAGGGTGATGGGAAAGCATCAACATAGAACTGCTTTGGATACTTGAAGCATGCTCATTATATCAAAATAATTTTGAACATTCTCCGAAGGATCTCCCTCGCCTGAGTACGTCTCTAGGTGAGGCATCTTAAATTTCTCAAATGGGAATTCCATTATCTTGTCAGATAACAGAGTATTTCCTTCGATAGTGTCAAAAATTGGTTTGTATCCTCAATCGTAGCCAGAGGCCCCTACATTGGTTGACGAAGTTGTGGAGTCATGGCGGTGGGGTTTTCTGAGAATCTTTCCTTTGGCACGCCCCTCTGAATGGCTAGGACTGGGGTTTTTATTGTCATTATTTAGTTGCTTAGGGCAGTCTTCTGCTTGTTCGTGGTGGTTAGGAGGAGGCTGTGGTGTGTCCCACGACACTTCATGGGTGTGAGTTTCTGATTCCGATCTTCAGGTGGTGGAGGTTGTTCATCAGCATTTGGTTGCCGTGGGATTCGCTAGAGGAGTTCATTGGTCAGGGCGGCAAACTATTCTTTTAAAGATGCAGAGAGTCTGTCTACTGTCTGCTCCAATTGACCCTGGGTCACATAATTTGGAGGTCCCCTTGCAGGAGATTGGTCCACTCCTCGCTCAGAACTCGGCATTACTTCTAAAAAAGAGGAAAGTAGCCCCACGGTAGGCATCAAACTATAGATGCTCGTGAACAAACAGTTGATGAGGGTTGCAGAGTTGCTGGATCATCGAGAGATTGGATCGTCAAGAGGGATGGAGGGCCACTTTCATTCTTCGACTTTATGTCTGGTTCTTAGAGCTCAGGGGGACGGATCACCTGCACACACAAGAATCATGGGACTACGGGGCTTGTTTCCCCCGTAGTACCTCCGACGATCAAGTCAGCTGATGGACTTGGGTCCAGTAATAGAGGAATAGTATCTCCTTCTAATATGTGACTAGAGAATTTTTTAGGTAGTGAGGGAGAGATCGAACCCCTTTTAAGGATAAATAGCGTCTGTATTTATAGAGGATGCTAAGGGCAGAACATGTATTTATTGAGCAGGCAGCTCATGATGATGGAGAGAGGTGAGCTAGACGCTGAGTCATCCTCTGCCCTATTCGTGTCGGTTGATGAGTGATGGCTGGTCACTTCAGTACAATAGGGATTCAATAGCCGTTGAGCCTGGGTCAAGCGGGTGATATGGTAGTCACTTCCGTGTTGGCGGTGAGGACCCATCAGCAGCCGTTGAGGCTTGCCTGTGAGTAACGTGGAGTCGTTTCTGTGGCATGGGGAATCAGCAGCTGTTGAGGCTTGTCTGCGGGTGACATGGAGTCATAATGATGACCATAAATAGTAAAATAATATTGGGAAGTAATGTTCTGAGTCGCCTTTGGGGGAAGTGTCAGCCGGTTGCGGAGCAGCAAACTTTCGCCCGACTGAGTCCGCCTTTCGAGTCGTCTTTGGGGAGTGACGCCGGCTCGACTGGGTCTATTCTTAGGATAGCATATTTGTAAGTAACAGGGAACACCCCATAATAACAACTGCTATGTTTTAATGTGTAGATAATTTTGACATAATTTATTTCGTGATTATTATTATTTTTAAATATTTTTCTAAACCCTGATTTCTTCACATATATATACTAGTGTGTACCCCGTGCCAAGCACGACCCTCGCCTCTTTTCTACAATTCGTTAATGTTGTTTGATCTCAATTTTATTTTTATACAAAATTATTCTTATAGCTAGCAACTATGAAGACCTTCAAATGAGTTGCAATTGGAAAATTGATGCCTAATAATATTGTATGGTGCAAATATAACAATACTATTCCAACAACTCACACATAATGGCCTAATAAAACAATATAGCAACAAAACTCTACATTCAATATAACATATATTCATGAATCAGTCACTTGAGTGACAACCAATCATGAATTTTTACGAAGGAGTTATCTCTTGATGCATATTTTAGTTCATCATACAAAATAATGCAAACTATCCTCTTAACTATATCGTGTCTCAAAGACAAACATTATAATATCGTATATTTATCATTAGGGGGGAAAAAAGAAACAAAGCCAGTAAAAAGAAGAGAAATAAGAGCAAAACCTAAAATAGAACAATTACAGGCTTAAATGGGGTCTTCGATTATGTAGGCGTGGAAATTTCCTACTCCGAGATGTTCTTAACGACCTTCTCCGTCACCTGAAAACATTATAGAAGTTCATTAAAACTGAATATAACAGAAAAATTATAAAATAAATAAACTGACCGTCAATAAATAATAAAGTGACTAAAGAATCATACCAACAAGTAATAATAACGTCTTATTAATGTGTCTTTCAAAAAAAAAGAGAATAAAGTAGAAAGAACAAAATTTAGAAAAGGAAATCTCAGATCGAGCACATACATAAAATTTAGAGGAATACAATCTGACAAATTATAGTTCATTCTCAAAACCAACAACGCAATAAAAACTTATTTTCTCTCAATAAAAGCCCCCAAAATTCAAAAAAGAATCAAATCTGTCATCCCTACGAAATCTAAAACTTTTTTTTATCTCATAAATACCATCCCTACCATCATTAACCAAATCACTCAACTCAAAATTATACTAACAAAATTAACAAAAAATACCCATGTCAAAAAAACCTGAAAAAAATGTTTCCCGATCTCCAGAAATTTTAATACTTGACAAAAATCTTAAAAACTGATTTCGAAAAAGGTTATACCATCCCTAGCCATCATTAACCAAATCATACCTCCCCTCAAAATTATACTACAAAATTTAATCAAAAATCATACCTTTCTCGAGACCAATTGTTTCCCGATCTCCAGCCATTTGTTTTTAATAGCTTGTGACAAACTAATCTTAAAAATCTGACTGCCTACTATTTTCTGAAAAAAAATCAAACAAAAAAGATAAATAAAGCACAATCACCAAACAAAAATACTCAAAAATCTCAAAATTATTACTATATTGTATAATTTTTTATTTAAGAGCACAAATTGTAGAAACGTCATAATTGCTGAACTATATTTCACTTTATAGTTTTGTACCTGATTTATGTAATTATAGACTTGGTAATGATTGAAAATAATATTGCATGTGCTTTGTAATTATGACTATGAAATATGCATATGAATGTGTACCTGATTTGAGCCACTACTTCCCTATTACATGATTTGCAACAGACTTGTCCTGAAGTTGATTGTTTTTTTTGCACAATCTCGACATCCAACATAACGCCAATCTAGTTCCTTCACAACTCTAATGATTTGCACATTGCATATGAAAAAGTAATCCTATAATTGCAGAAGATGGTGTTATCATTTATTAAATAGATAACTCATATATTGAATGTGTTGTTCAACTGTTTTTAAAGAACAAAATAAAAATAAAAGTAAGTGCAACATGTTAATGAACCATCAATTTCTTTGAACTATGCATATATTTTTTCAAAAAGTATATATAAAAAGCTCACATTTTGTTCAGGATGAGTATAAGAAGAATCACGTGTTTACTTTTCCTTTAAATAGAATCACACTGTTTACTTTTCCTTTAACAATTGTTACATTCATGCATTACTTTGCTTCCAGAAAATATATTTTCTGAATTTTTTACTGTGCTGGCCTTTTCTGTAGTTTTTTGCATTTTCTGACATTTCTCTTCAACTTTGCAGGCAGGTAACATATAACAGACATAAGTGTTCAATTTGCGCACACATGGGCTCTTTATATTTAGAAGAAAACCAATTGAAAATTAAAATTCATAGAAAGGTAAATTTTTGCATGGAGTTCTGTTGTCATTCTTTTATCCTTGTCTGCACAACCTTTTGGTTAAATCCTCAAAATTCTAATTTCTCGCTTAATGTTCATTTTGTTCTTTTTTTCTCTGCTGCTGCTGGTGTAGGCATAAATATGCTAAAACATACCCACAAGATGTGACATTATTTCCATTATGGTAACTGTTCCGACATAATGATTTTGTGTGACATTATATTATATATTCATAATACTGCTAATGAAAAGGGCTAAATGTCAACTCTTTTGTTCTTCAAGTTTTACCAGCAAACTGTTTCAGGCTTCTTTTTTTAAGCATTATCTTAATTCATTTTGACTTCAGTAACGAAATCAGCATTTTGGCAGGGATGATATGTACATAATTTGACTTCAGTTAGCTTATGATCATACACGTACATTAGTTGTTTAAATTCATGCAAAATATTATCTACCATACATACTGTAACATTTGGGCAGGGATGATATGTACATAATTTGTCTGTTAAGAAATAAATATGAAAGTAAACTGAGAAAGTAATTAAGGCTTCACATTTCTTGTAATCAGATAAACCATAGAATTTCCAGAATTCCAATGTCGCATAAGTCTCTTGTGCTTCATTTACTCTTTTCTTTCTCTCTATGCAACAACTCTTTTTTCTAGGTTCTTTTGAGAGTGTACTATTTTGACTGTAAGCGCTAACATGATTGAAGGAACTACACATTCCACTAAATATCACTTAATCTAACAATATAATTACTCAATCAATCTACCCCTAAGAGTGTTCAACCTAAAAATTACAAATAACTCAATTCTAAATAATTAAGCATAAAATAATTGAAAATCAAAAAAATTCAAAAATTACATTATGTTCCAAGAAATTCAAAATAAATTGGAAAATGAGTTGAGAAGAGATACATTGTCGTCTTTGTCTTCGAGGTCTTTGGAGTCAGAAGCCTATGGAAGAAAAAGAGGACTTTGATCTGAAGTAAACAGAACAGATATGACAAAATCAATACATCATCAAAGAAGACTTTGATCTGAATCCACCTGCAATTTCCATCACTAAATATCATCAATCAGGACATAAAATCCTCATAATCAATCAATACTGTTCAACAAAGGGTTATGATCACTAAATTTAAGGAATTATAATCCAGCAATTTTAATGAATTTTTAAGGAATTTTTTTATTTGTGTTCACCTGTTGATACTTGAAGGCACATTCTCAGATGACACGATCACAACTTGGATATCCTTGAGAGATTGTGAATATTTTCAAAATAAATAAATAACAAAATTTTCAAAAAGTATATATAAAAAGCTCACATTTTGTTCAGGATGAGTATAAGAAGAATCAGAAGATGATGAATCTACTTGCTCATCTTGCTGCAAGTTTAAACATATTACCTAAATCACATTTTGTTCAGCAAAAAATATTACCTAAATCAAGTTTAAACATAAGGTTTAGGTATATGATCAGAATTAGGCACTATTAAGATTAGCTAAATCAAATTTAATCATTATAAATAGAAATTAGCATCTTCAGTATGCTAAAAGAAGTAACTAAATAATCCAAAAATAACAATCTAAGGCGCAAAAAATTAGAATTTAGCTCAAATTCATCACCATGATTTATATTTCAATCACTATGCTCAAATTCATCACCAATCACCATAGAATTGTTTGAAATCTGTATTATTAGTTTAAAGCACAATAGTTTTTCAGTTATGTTTCTCATCAGCACAAGCATTTGATTACAACTTTCATGGAAATTTATATTAAAACACTGCAGTGTTGTCAAAATCTCAGGTCTAGCAAAGGAGGAAAATTTAAAAAAAAAAGCTAGTGATGGAAGTGCAGGAGAGAAGGACATCAATTTGATATTCAATGTAGAACAGGGATAAGTGATCAGCAAATATAAACTCCATAAAGTAAAATTCTAGGAAACAAAATTCTAGTGAATGTGAAAGTGAAACATCAGATTGCTTTGAGGAAGTTGCTTTAAGCCTTCATTATAATACACAGAGATGATGCTAGTCAAGTAATAGTTTACGTAAACCCACTCAAAATAACTGGCAGTAACTCCGCCTGAATTTGCAAAAAACCCACACAAAATAAAATCAGAGAAAGTACCTGCAGTTTTCTTCTTTTCAAAGAGGAAATCTTGGGATAGAGAATTATGAGCAATTTGTGAAGGTCAATCAACAAATATCAAATTAAAAGACTGATTACTATAAAAGACATACTTTGATAATTCTTATAGAGAATAGTTATACAATTCTTATATAGTAAAGAAGAGAAAGAATGGAAAAATATAATTCACATTACATTCTTCACAATTATACTAATTTATAACACAAATTTTGAGTTGCGGTGGCAGCATTTACGTGAGAAGTAGCATTTCATAGTTCCTAAAAAGCTAGAAACACTACTAATATTATTACAGATTTCAGAAGAAGACTTAAATACAAATATAATGACTTTTGTAGCATGAATAATAATTAACAAATTTAGTTCAAGAGTGTTAACATAGTCTACAATGAAACTAATTTGACTAACATTTCTCTAAAGCTTACACCAAAACTTTAAAAAAGGCAATACTTGCTACTTTAACCGTAAAAAAAGTTGATACCTGACTGGTTCTTCCATTCTCATCTGGAAATTTAATCAATCAAATTGAGCCTGAAGCAAAGAGGATAACTAAACACACAACATAAGTCGATCAATTAAAATGATTAAAATCTTTAAAACCTGAAATTAGAAAACGGCAAAAAAAAAAATAATTCGTACAAATAGCGAATAATTCCAATCACAAAAAAATATCAATTCATTCCAATCAAGCTCTCAAGTTAGTTACAGTTTTTCAACACTAAAAGGATCAAATTAAAGTTATAATGTGGTTTTCCCTTGTTCCTAAAAGAACATACTACCTAAATAAGCAATAAAATTTTGCTGAGTAAAGTATAAAAATCAAAATTTGTTGATTGAACCCCTAAATCCCTAAAAATAAATACCTCGAGATTTAAAGGTGAGCATTGAGTCGTTCTAGACTAAAAACTAAGAGAAAGATAAATCTCCATAAAGATTCTCAAATTGATCTCCTTAACTGCAAATCGAAGCAAGTGAGTAAGGAATAAACCACAAAAAATCGGTAAGAACCAATTTGTAAATAAATTATAATGAATTGCAAATCGAAGCGCTACTAATATTATCAGAGATTTCAGAAGAAGACTTAAATACAATTCCAACAATTATCTCTCAATCACTAACTCACATAGCTACTTAGTAACAAACTGTAACAACCAATTAGTAAATAAAATATAATGAATTGTGATTGGATAACATCAACATGTAAGATCCACTTGGCAAGAAACATTTAACATTAGGTTTATTTCCCCTCAACAATTGAGCATACATAAAAATGAGCATTTGAAATGATCCAATAATGTATTGGAAAAAAATAAAGGCTATTGAAATAATATATAAAAACGACTTTTAAAAATGTGTAATAATTAACAAATTTAGTTGAAGAGTGTTAACATAGTCTACAA